TTTTGCTTTCTGGCCATTTGCCAAAGCCACAGCTTCTTGTGCTACTGGAACAAACCTGCAAAATAATTCAGAGTCATTAACAATTGTTTGACTTGCCCCACTATCTATTAGCCACTTGTCTCTGTTGTTGCTATTGCAAACTTTTGCAACACCAAAATGTTCCTTTTGCAAATTAGTCTTCTTTGCATGCACAAAGGTCTTTTGCTGCAAAATGTTCCTCTGCAAACAGTTCCTTTTCAGATGTGTCCTCGCTCCACAAATGTAGCAATTCTTTTCTTGCTGCTTGCAAAATCTCTCTTTTGTTGCAACTTGGTCCCATCTGCTGCTTGTTCCTTCTCCGGAGACTTGCAGTCTGGACCCCCTCCTCAGGAATTTCTCCTCCTCGTGGCTACTCCTGAAATTGTGCTTTTTTTGTTCATTAAGCAAACATGCCTTTAAAGCCTCAAAATTTAAGTCTTTTTCTTCTTTACACTCAAATATCGTAGAAACTGTGTCCCAGGTTTTATCTAAACTGTTCAACACTAATAAAACCTTCTGTGACTCAGGGAATTTAATCCCACATTGTTCTAGGTCCAAAAATAAACTTTGCATTTTATTTAAATGCTGTTCCACAGATTCACCTGGTTGTAAACAGGCTCTGTAAAGTTTTCTTGACAATTGCACTATATTGCATGCAGAAACATTCACGTGCACAGCTCTCAACTTCAGCCAAATTTCCTTTGCAGTCTTTAGATTTGCAACATTTAGAAACTGTTCATCATCTAAATCAGTGGTTCTCAACCTTTTTAATGCCGTGACCCCAACCAGTCATAAGTCGAGAACTAAACCGGTCGTAAGTCGAGGACTAAACCGGTCGTAAGCCGAGGACTAAACCGGCCGTAAGTCGAGGACCACCCAATCGGTCGTAAGTCAAGGACTTTCCCTGCCCGGGAGCGCCGCACATGCGTGGTTCCGCCCCCTGCGCTGGCCGAGGCGTAGCTGGCAAGCGGCAGAGACGGAGCAGGCCGACCACCAGCTGGCCCAGCCCAAAGGAGGTAAGGCACCCGCCGGAAAAGGGAAAAAAAATGGAGGACAAAAAAAATGGCAGACAAAAAAAATGGCGGACAGCCTTGATTGGTGACCCCCATGAAATGGTCGATCGACCCCAAATGGGGTCCCGACCCACAGGTTGAGAACCACTGATCTAAATTCAAGGTGAGATAAGCCATGGCTTGATCATGGCTTTTCTGAGCAGTAGCTGCAAACACTTGTGGGGGATTTTCTACAATATACCACAGCTCTTTTGCTTTCAGCAAACATTCCATCTTCGCAGCCCATATAATGTAATTCTTTTGGCCTAAACGAGGCACAGAGCTTTCCTTAAATTCCATTGCAGCCATTCTGCTA